AAGTTTCATTATAGCGAATTTAGCTTCGGTATTACGTATTAATAATTAGTACTATGATAGTTCGGTTTGTAGTTGTTAAGAGAAACCTAGGGGTTTCGCCAAAAAAGAATTAAAAGGGCGAAATGATGAAACTGACGGAAGGTGGCGAAACTGGCGAAACTGACGAAACTGGTGAAAGGTGACGAAACTGCCAAAAGGTGACGAAACTGGCGAAAGGTGACGAAACTGGCGAAAGGTGACGAAACTGGTAAAAGTGGCAAAAATTAGCAAAATAGTAAAAAGAGTTGAAACTCTTTTCATCGACCTTTCTATTCCTACTTGTTCATCTTTAAATTGTTACATAAAAGCCATGTTCATACGTCTGCACGTACGTACCCGATATCACACATCACTTGTGTATTTGCAACAATGCGCATATTTTCCGCAATCAGAATTTTCTATAATCGTTAATTGCATTATTAGTTATTTCATGAATTAAGTGCAATACAAATAATTTTTATGCTTACCTATGAAAACGACCAGGTTATTTAATAGAAATCTAACAATGAAGGTTTTGAAGGCTACTCGAGACGAAGTCACGAGTAGCTCTTTTTGTCACGAAATCTAATGAGGACCCCGTAAGTGTTGTCAATGCAGGGGTGGTTTTATATATATGATCAACAGGGGTTGATCGATATTGACGTCATGATTGCTGATCAGGTAAACAGAGTATAAATAGTAAATATGTGGAGTAAGTTGTTTACTTTTTTCGCTTTGCTGTTGCTCGACTCTGAAGAGTCCAGCTTATCGAATAGTGTGCTATACAATTTCCATAAAATTGTTTTTCACAAATTGTTTTTCACAAATTGGTTTTCACAAATTGTTATAGTTTCATAGGAAGTCTTCTATAGAATTTTTGTAAACAATTTTTTATCTGAAACTTATCTAAAGAATTTTATTTTACAACACGTTATATTTAGCATAACAAACGATTTCATAAAATCTTATTGTGCCTATTATTATTATTATTATTATTGAGCTAAAAGAATAAGTTAGAACTACTATTAGACATGTCAAGCATGAGTTTTATTGAGGAATCAGCAGAAAGCACCTTGAACCTACCAGTACAGGAAGTGCAAGACGAACTAGGAATGACTGACATGGGTTTTAAAAATAGTATAGACAGACTTACTCTGGACACGTTGAGGTTCTATGTAATGCAAAAGGTTTATCTAGTTCAGGAACAAAAAAGGAACTAGTAGAGAGATTTGCTAAAAAAAACATCAAATAAAATAAGAGAGAAATTACCAGAGTCAAGTGATGTTTTGCAAAATGGTAAGGAACATAGATACCAAGGGGACGAGAGAAGAAATCTAGAGAGTCAAGGAAGGGATAATAGTTATATGAATAATTTGAATATATATTTTGATATAGGCATGAACAGAGCTATACATGAGGTTTCAGAAAATGTTTTATATAATAGTATAGAAAATAACAAGCTATTGGAAGAAAGATATATGTTATTGAAAAAGTCATTAGAAAAGTTCTTGCAGATGATATTGACTAAAGCACTAGAGAAAATGAAACAAAGTTTGTATCTGGCTGGAAGCCAAGATGAAGATAAATATTGACCAGATATAAGAATAGATATACCAAAAAATCAGTTTGAATATAATGAATAGCATAGAATTGATAAAGAATTAGATAAAGCCTTATTGTCAAAATCTTTAGAACTGATTATAAGAGCTTGTGAAATAGTATATACTCAGGTATATACATTATGTATAACAAATAAAGAGGGTTGGGATATAGCATCAGCAATAGGTGAGTTAGTCAGTGATGATCATATAGAAGCAGCACTTAAAAAAAGATTAGAAATTGCAAGGCAATTAGTAAGAAACAAAAAGCGAAAGATAGATAACTCACTATTCAGGTCTGCAATATTTAAGTCTCAAGCTTGGCAAAATCTATATCAAAGACCAATAATTAAACAATCAGGCATGGCTTTTTTAAATCTGGTATTACTACAACAACAAAGTCAAATTCTATTATTGCAACAACTACTATATGGACAGGTATCTTAACAATTTCTTAGTAGCCAATTTCCTATACAATATAGTTAACCAATATTTCAAGGATGGTTAACATTTCTACAAATACAATACTAGTCAGCAATTAAAAATTTAAAGGAGTATAACAAGAAACTGACAAGATTGAGTAACATTATCTGTTATATTTGTGAGAAAAAGGGCCATA